AAAACAAAAAAACCCCAGAGGGAATAGAAGCAAATACTGTTGAATGATGATGCACAGAGGAGACTGTAATCATTACAATGAAATGATGAGTATAAAACTGATGTTCACTCATGTAAATTAATCACTCAATTCACAATAAAAACTTTAAAAAAAAAAACTATGCATTTCACATGAGTCTAGTAAGATCTCTTTAAAATACATGCAATCACTATATAATTATGTGCACACACCTGAATTATTTTATGATAATTTAAACTTTGGTCATGTGTACCAAAAATGCTAAGGAATTCATTTTCAGAACTTGAAAACATGTGCTTCGTATATTATTAAATGGCACTATCTGAAGAAAAACTGGCAGAGAATACATTCTATCAGCTTTCCATAACTTTACTGATACTTGTTGTTAGTGCCATCAACATGGTCACTAAAATGCACTTTGAGAAATGCTATAAATAATTTTCACAAATTACTAAGGCCATAAAAACAATGAAGAAGCAAACAAATATGGAGTAAGGAAAATACCAGTTAAAACTGTTGTTAAGGATTTGCAAGGCTATATATCTTCACAGGAGGAGAAAGCCTCACTTTTCTCCCACAGTGTGGCTGATGGGTTCAAACTGCTCACCATGAGGTTAGTTGATCAGTGCTTATCCTATAGAGATACCACACTCCCAACATTTAAAATATCCCTAGAGAATTACAGTTATAGACCTATTTTAGTCTTGAGGATATTACAGTTTTAGGTTACAATTTGGTTTCTAAATTTTTGCTATTTGCTATAACTTAAAATTGTGTGTTATTCTAAAAAGATTTACAAAATAGTTGTTCTCAATGAAAGTATGACTACTTGTTGAAAATAATTTATGTGATACGTACACTTGGCCCCAGTTCTCCAAAGGATCCAACTGGTCCTTCTTCTCCCTTAAGAGAAAGTCAGAACATATCAAGGCCTAAGGTAAGAATTTAAAATGTAAACTATATATTTTTCTATTAATCCTGAAATCTGAAACTCATTCTGAGATTTGTTGAAAATTATGCTGATGTTTAAAAACGTATTTTAGAACCATATTATGCAATAAAGTTTTAATTTTTTTTAAATGTAACAATCACTTATCCACCTGATGAGAGCATTACTTTAAAATTGGTGCAAGACAAAAAATGTATTTAGAAAATTGGTAATGGAGAAGAGTGAAAGTCATTAAAATATCAGAAAACAAGCATAATGAATCACTGAAACCATTAATTAAAAATAATCTTTACCTTCTTGGTCACTATCTCTCTGATACAGAGATGAACTCAACAACTAAGTTCTTAACAGAGGGCAATAAATATATATTGTTGTATTTAAAAACTACATAGAGAATATGTTTGCTCTTGACACATTTTGATATTTTATTCACTTAACAAATATATTTTGCATATTAGTTCTGCATTAAGCCCTAGCAATACGAAGGTAAATTAGATCCTACCCAATGGTGGCTAAACAGTGTCTAGAGTTTATTCTTGATTAATTTACAGCTTATAGCTAAATCAGCTGCAACATCATAAGATAAAAAAATTGACCATATTTTTTTAAGAATAAAAAATTTTGCAGAAGAATAGAAGCAGAAGAGGAACACAGTAGAAATAAGAGTGTCTCATAAATCTATAAAAAATATATTATTCTATAAAAATGTATTTAAATGCACCAAATGTTTTTACTATACTGATGGACATATTTACTAAAATACTTATTTTTTTAATTTTGAAAAAATATTTGAGATTGCCACATCTGAACAATGCATACCCATACAGAGATTCTTGGGACCCTATATTATATTTTATTTATTTGATTAGCAAACATTTTATTCAATTCACAATTTAGTTAAAATATAATTTATTTTTAGGCACACATATAAAATAGTCACAAATAGTAAATATAAATTCTAGTACATATGAATTAGACTCTAAGATCAGGTTCTTCAGACCACTGACATAAATTACTTTAATTTGTTTAATAAATTGTAAAATTATTTCAAATCCCATTCAATTTCTACCAATATTTAATGGTAACTTAGAACCCACTCTATGGCAAATGCTGCCCATACTAAAGCAATATTTTTATTAAAACAAATCTAAAGTTCCTTAAAAATATATTAAGGGAAAATTGAAACAATTGTTGACTGAATATTTATTTCCTGTATACCTGAGTTCCTTTGAGACCAGGAGGTCCAGGGGGCCCTCTATTTCCAAGAAGACCCTATAAAAGCAATAAAAGCACACACAGTAAACATTTTATCACTATTAATATTTTGACCAATCAGCATAATCTAGAGATAATGTAAAGGAGGAGATGATGAGTAAGACTCTTTGGTACTTGTCACTTCCCATTAAGAAATAATAAAAATGGGGTGGGAAGATAGAAAAGCAGAAAATGTCAGGGTATCCAGAAAACTGGGAAACATAGAATAAACTTTTTCTTTGTTGTTGTTAAGTGCTGTCAAGTCAGTTCCGATTCATAACAATACTGTATAGGGTTTCCGAGGAGTGGCTGGAGGGTTTGAACTGCTGACCTTGCAGTTAGCAGTCTAATGCTTATCTTACAGTACCATACATAGATTAAGCTTTTTCTTTAAGCGTTTGTATGTCACTCAATGATCAAATAATGTGTTTGCTGTTGTTGTCAGGTGCCATCGAATCAGAACTGACTCATAGCGACCCCATGCACAGCAGAACGAAACAATGTCTGATCCTGGGCCA